GAGTCAATCCAAGCATTAAAAAATAATCTCCTCATCTGGAAGCAGGGAAGTGATGGGAAGGTGCAGACATTTGGGAAAAGATGTCAGGCTGCAAAAAGAGACCCCAACTGCCCTGTGGTCATCAGGGGATGGCTCAACAAAAAGGTAAATTTATATTTTTAGTTTGAAAATATGCAGCATGTGTTTTTTTATGCTGACAGCAAGTGTGTGTTTGTTTTGCAACCCTCTCTGTCCTCTGCAGGATAGTTCTGGTTTGAAACTCTGGAAGAGAAGATGGTTTGTCCTCTCTAATTACTGCCTGTTTTATTATAAAGGTAGGACTGATTCTGCTTGATGTAAAAAGTTATCACTTGCTCAGATTATTATATTTCCTTTTTTTTTATTTTTAAACTTCTGTTTGTGTCTTTAATCAGACAGCAGGGAAGAATCTGTGCTGGGAAGTATCCCACTCCCGAGCTACAAAATCCTGTTCTGTACTCCACGAGAATGCAAGAACAGGAAATTCACTTTCAAGGTATCATTGTATTGTTAACTTATAATTGCGGGAGTGTACAAGACCATTTTAATACTGTCTATTGTTTAAGATTTTAAATATTAAAAGTTCACTGATTGTAATCAGAATTAAAAATGTCCCGTCACACACCCAGCCGCACATTTGGGTTCCAAAACGTTTAATTATTCGATATTCTTTTTTGTGTTTTTATACTTCTATTCATAAATACAAAACAAATCAAAGCATTATTTGAAGGAATATATATTGCCTGGCTGTAAACATCTCATGTTGAGAAAAGAGAGTCGCAACTTTCTGTGACCAATTCAAGCTTAAACGGAGTAAAACTGTCTAAATTATGGACAGTTTTATGTGAGATTAAATGAGCTGTCTGAGGCAGTCATCCTAATTTAAATAAGCTCCAAAGATTAATTAGTTGCAAATKTACATCTAATGATTATTTCCTGGAAATTTCATTAAAATTATTAAATTATGTTATTAAATATTTTTGATAAATTTTTCAACAAGAATCTGTTAGTATTCAAAGTGAGTGTTGAGGATCAATCTCACCACACCAAATACAGTATATGATCAATAATTGATAAAGAGGCTGGGTTAGCTGTTTATTTTAGGTCAGTTGGTTGTGGCAGCCATCTTGAATTGAGTTGACTTAAAAAATAATACATTTGTAGATCACATGATGATTACTTCCTGAAATTTTTATTAAAATATGTTCAGTATGTGAAATACTTTGGTAACAGATAGATGGGTAAAAATTACTGTAGATTTTTTTTGTGATCCTAAAAGCTTTTTTATGGATTTGTTTTCTGTAAAACTAGGTGGTGCACCAGGGAATGCGGTCCTATTTTTTCAGTGCTGACACTCAAGAGGACATGTTGGGTTGGGTTCGAGCCCTGAGTCAATCAGCCACAATGGAGCCAGACGCCACATTGAACAGGTAAAGACAAGATTCATCATAGCTTTAAAGTTGTAAATGCTGAATAATCAAACACTCTGCATTTCTTTTTTTCATAATTCAGGCGTTGCTCAAGTTATCAGGATTTTACACAGATAGGTGGCAGCAGTGAGTCAGTGGATGGTCCCAAATCCCCTTCAGAGGAGGAGAGTCCCTTACAAAGACAAAAGCATGTCAGCAGGACCCTGAGTGAGCCAAGTCAGCTTGTCAGTGGGAAGATGGGGAGGTYCCACTCAGAGCAGAGGGGGAGGCGGAGCATGCATCACAGAAACAGGAGGTTTTTATGTCATCTTAGTGTGTGAATTTCACATCCCACTGGTCACCTTAAAGACATAAAATATTACATAAAAAGGCCCTACAGTTTGTCTTTCTGGTCTGCTTTTTAAAGCCCCTCAAACAGAACWCCGAGCCCTCCTGATCTGAACAGAAGAAAAGCAGCTTGTCCAAACAAGGAGGAGGATGGTGAAAATGCAACAACAGAGGTCGAAATGATGGGGATGAGTTCTCYAAGCACAAGAGGACAGCTGGGATCTCGGCCTCATACACCAGTRGGCAGGGTTGACATTCGACCCCATGATGACCCAGCAGGGCCACAGACTCTGTACTACGCACCTGTTTCACCCAAGCTGGAGTTCAAATCTGCTCCTACCACTCCGGTCACAGAAAGGTGGCAAAGCTTAAGCAAGGTGAGAATTTCTAATCTGTACCATGAAGTGATAGTTTAGAATCACCATAAAAAAATTAATAAATAAAACAAAAACAAATATATTCTTTTAACTCATTGACTCTCAGATGAGTATGATTATTTAGTGGCTTTCCTTTGTCCCATGGTTCATGAAGACAAYATTAAAGGCACAGTTTGTAGGATTTTGTCAATTTTTTTAGCTGAAATTGAGATAATCACTAATGACAATAATAAAAAAAACATGTCTAATCATTGCAAAGACCTTGTTTTATTATTTTTACCTTATAAAAAGCTGTTTATATCTCCATGGTC